ATTTCCTTTGGCTGATAATGAAACCCTGTTTTTCCCTGAGTATTTCCATCCCTAGAAAATAATGAATAGCACCCAAATGTTTCACTTTGAATTCTGAATTGAGAAAACCAGTAATATGTTGAATTTCTGTGGCATCATCCCCTGTTAGTAGGATATCATCCACATAAACTGCTAGTATAGACACAAGAGTACCATTGCGTTTGTAAAAGAGAGAGTAATCATTTAGAGAACTAGAATACCCTTTAAAACTCAAAGCTCCTGCAAGTCTGGCATACCACTGTCTAGATGCCTATTTCAACCCATAAAGAGACTTTTTCAAGAGACAAACTTGATTAGTTTGGGGTGGAGCAACACCTGCTGGGAACTTCATATAGACTTCTTCTTGCAATCCCCCATGGAGGAATGCATTATTCACATCAAGATGTGACACTTCCCAACATTTCTTCACAGCCACAGCTAAAAGACACCTTATGGTGGTCATTTTGACCACTGGTGAAAAGGTTTCAAAATAGTCAATTCCTTCCCTTTGAATGTCCCCCCTCACTACTAGTCTAGGCTTTAATCTCTCCACATTTCCATCTGAATGGTGTTTTACCTTGTATACCCACTTACAAGGTAGAGCTTTCTTTCCTGGAGGCAAATCCACCACATCCCAGGTGTGATTCAGCTGTAAGGCTGAAATTTCTGCATCCATGGCAGCCTTCCACCCTGGGTGATTGCAAGCTTGTGCATAGCTTCTAGGTTCAGAGATAGTGGATAGGGATTGAACTAGGTGTTTATTTGTAGCAGATAGAGTCCCGAAAGAGAAAACATTAGGAATGGCTGGCTGAGTGAAGCAGGAATCTGTGAGATTAGTGAGAATGATGGCATTGCACACATAGTTTTTTAAATAGCTAGGTGCCTGAGAAATTCTGTCAGACTTTCTGACAGGTGGTGGAGGTGTGGGAATGACATATCTGGATGCTGGGTGAATAGGTGAAAAGGGAGGAGTGAATGATTCATCTAGGAGTGGTGTAAGATCAGATGTAGTGTGAGGTGAAAGGTGTGTGGCTCTAAGAGAAAGAGGGTTATGACCAGTAGGTGTTGAAGGAATCCTTGAGGGAGATGAATGTGGTGAGAGTACAGGTTGTTGCTGATGTACAGGACTTTCAGCACTAGGATATGTGGAGAAGGTAGAACAATGTGGATAGTAGGTGGATGAGTGAGCTAAATGAAAGGGAAAAACTTCTTCATGAAACATGATGTCCCTGGATACAAATACCCTTGTTGTATCCATGTCGAGTACCTTGTATCCTTTTTGACCTTGAGCATATCCTAGGAACACACAATACTTAGCTCTAGGATCAAATTTACTTCTATGTTGAGACAGAGTTGACACATAGCACAAACATCCAAAACCCCTTAGAATCTCATAAGTAGGTGCTTTCCCAAACAGAACTTCATATGGTGTTTTCCCTTTCAATACCTTGGAAGGAAACCTGTTTATCAAAAATGATGCAGTCAATACACATTCTCCCCATTATTGAATAGGAACTTCGGATTGGAACATTAGTCCCCTGGCAATTTCCAAAAGGTGTCTATGTTTCGTCTCAACTACAACATTCTGTTGGGGTGTAGCCACACAAGAGGTTTCATGAAGAATCCCTTGTTCTTGAAAGAATTGGAATTCTTATGTTCCCTTTCCCAACTCCCAGGCATTATCAGACCTCACCCTTTTTACCTTCTTGCTAAACTGCCTTTCAACCATAGAAAAGAAAGACTTCAAAGTTGGAAAAGCATTACTTTTGGTTGTTAACAGAAAAGTCCAGGTAGCCCTACTAAAATCATCAACTATAGTCAAAAAATAGTTGTACCCATTGTATTTAGGAGTCTTGAAAGGACCCCAAGTATCTATATGAATAAGGTCAAATGGAGATGATGTTCTGACTTGGCTAATGGGAAAAGGAAGCCTAGTTTGCCTTGCTTTAGCACAAATGTCACACACATTATGAAAATTTGAAGGAAAATGAATAAACTGAGCTTCTTCATTACTGAAAAGGGCAAATGCCCAACCTTACATGCCATTGGGTTACATTAGGAACAGCATTAGCTAGAACTGGAATTGAAAAGAGAACTTTACTAGGTACTAAACTGGAATTACTTCCTTTTGGAATGGAAACTACATCTTTACTAAATAGAATTCTAGACTCTGTAGTTCTAGGATAGAGTAGATATAATCCATCTCTTACTTCACCAAAAACTTGTCCCCTCCTCATTAAAAGGACCTGCAATAGACATTCACTAGAAGTGAAGTTGATGATACATTTGAATTGAGAGCATAACTTATGAACAGATAACAAGTTATACTTAAAAGATGGAACATAAAGTACTCTTTCCAGAATCATATTAGGTTGAATGCAAACCTGCCCCATGTGTGTGACAAACAGTTGAAAGGAATTAGGCAAACTAATATGTAAAGGCACAGGTAAGGGTGATAGATTTAGAAAGATTTGGAATCAAAACACATATGTTCTAAGGCACCAGAATCAATTATCCAGGTTTTAGTATTAAAAACAGCAAGACGTGGTCCTGAATATTTGAGTATAGTACCAGCAACAGCATTGGCACTAATTTCTGAGCTTGCATTTGCTGTATTTCCAATCTGCACCTACCTGATTATGTTTACTAGCTCAGAGACCTGTTCCTTACTGAAAAATTGTGGCTGACTGTTTTGGCTTCCTTCATTGTCCTCAGAACACTTTCCATCGGTCTGCTGATCTGTCACTACAGCATTTGTTTTGACTGTTGTTCCTTGAAAATTTCCACCCTTGGTAAATTGGAATTCATCAGGAAACCCTACAAGTCTGTAGCAATCAGCCCTTACATGTCCTATCTTTGAGCAATGACTGCAAGTAACATTAGGATTATACTTTGACTTCTTTGGCTTAGACTTGTGTTGTGTGTTTCCTGATTTTTGTTGAGTATTCCACCCTCTTTGCACTAGGTTGGTTTTCTATGAAAATTTGTTTTGTGATCCTACCATGAATGGAGTCCCATCATTGGGGTATTGTGGACTCATATAGATTTTCCTTTGGCTCTCATCTTGTAAAATGAGAGAGTAACACTGATCCATGCTAGGCATAGGGCTGAGCATGAGAATGTTTCCCCTTGCTTATGCATAAGCATCATTTAGTCCCATTAGGAATTGAATGACTCTTTGGTCTTCCATGAACTTGGCCATCTTCTTCTTACCATCACAAACACATGCACAGTTACACCCTAAGTGTGAATTAAGTGAATCCAGCTCATCCCATAGTCTCTTAAGTGTGGTGAAATAACTTGATATGCTGCTGTTTTCCTGACATGTTTTTGAAATTTCCTTCTGCAGATGGTATAGTTTTGCTCCACTAGACTGCCCAAACCTGTGTTCCAGGTTGTTCCAAAGGTCCTTAGCAGTCCTTGAATAGATGACGTTGTCACCTATCTCTTTGGTCAAAGAATTCAGCAACCAAGAGGTGACCATGTCATTGCACCTACTCCACAATGGATATTCTTTATCATCCATTGCTGGTTCAGCAACAGATCCGTTGATGAATCCAAGTTTGTTCTTGGCTGAGATTGCAATGAGGACAGACCTCTTCCATCCTGGAAATCCTCTTCCATCAAATGGTGAACTCACAAGCCCCATACCTGGAGTATCAGAAGAGTGCAAATGATAGGGATGATTGGAGTCATTATTGACTGCACTAGTTGTGGATCCAGATGCTGTGATGGCAGTTGTTGCTTCAGTACCAGTCATGGTTGAATCCAGAAATGGATAAGGGAGAAGAAATCAGATAGAAACTTGAGATGATTTGTGAATGGATCGAGCTTAAATCTGCTCTGATACCATGAAAGAAAAGAGACTGAAATTGAGAAATTTTCTCTATATTTTCTTATTCACAACTTGGTCTTTTTATACAAATCTATGTATAGATACAAAAGAATGTAAATAAATATTCCTATACACTTGTACTAAATCCTATTGGTATTTGCAAAACTAACTAACAGAAATATTCCTTTACAATGTACTATATCCATGTGCTATTCACGTGTGAAACTTTCATCTGAAATGTGTGTCATTTTAAATGAATGGCTGTGATTCATTCTTCTCTTAATAAGACAACGTCTCATATGGAATTGAGAATTTAGAATTAAAGGCTTCTGATCTTGACACGTGTCAACCTTTAAAATAGATATCATCAGATCTCCTTCAGACATAAACTCATTCTCTTCCTTGGAGACTCCGAAATTCTCATTCTATTCCTTCATCTTCTTCTTTCTCGTTTCTTCATCTTCCTTTGAATCAATATGGGGATTTTGATCGTCAACATATATATATTAAATATTGAACAGCCTTTGCAAAAATTTTAGCTTCGCCACTATAATGCACAAAGATGACAAACAAATCAGTAAATGGTCCAAAATTTTGTTGACCCTTAGAGGACATCCGATTGACAAAAACACATAATAGTAGCGTATCAATCTGTTGCTCTAATCTTCTGGACTCTTTCCTACTAATTAACTGATAATATTTCCCTTTTTGCTCAAACAATAGTAGGGAATCATAGTCGACGAAAGAAAGTATACAATTACGTCAATTTTATTTAATCAAAAGCCACTATTGTGGTAGGAGGTTAGGCATAGACCTTTACCCGGATACAAATATATCAATTGGAAATCACAAACTGACAAATTCCGATCTTTGAATTTTACATTGTTTGTAGTCCTATAGACAAAATATGGTGTAAACATAATTTGTTTTATGTGATCATAACCCATAGAGGCATTAATAAAAATAGAAGAAGAGCATTGCTGCTATAAAAAACTTGGGATCACTGTCAAGCAAGATAACTATAACACCAGGGGTATGCACCTTTTAAAAAAGGGCAGCCCGGTACACTAAACTCAAAAGGTCCGACCACAAGGGTCTATTGTATGCACCTTTTATATATATATTATTAGTTTAGCCTGAAACAAAGTTACACACAAAGCAGAGAATCAACATATATATAAGTCAAGACATAAGTAGCTAATCTTATCCATTTGATCATGTATCCTTCATAGTTGATTCAACTGATACAAGATAGTACACATAGGTGCACAAACTGAAGAAACATTTATTACAATCGAACTATCACACAACTTTGCTTGAAAGGAAACTTAGACCAAGCAACTTAATCCAGCACGGGAGCGAATATCATCCGTCAAGACTTGACAATGTAATTTTGGCGGCTGATGGGATTCATAACCACTGGCGGACCAGCAGTGCGAGGCCATGCCTGGAATTTTTTGTCCGTCTCTTTCCACCATTCGTTGTTTGCAACAGTATGTGGAGTAGTACCTGTATGAAATGACATGAATGTCTGTTAGCACGACCAAAGTCAAAATCAAAGTAAAAGAATAGTCCGTACTTGCCTCCAAACAGCTTCTTGTCTGCAATAGCGACGTCACAAACATATGCAATTGCAAATGATCCCAAAACTGAACCAATGATGTACTTTGTTGCCATTGTTGAACTCCAACAACTGAAAGATAACCCAAAACCCGGTAAGACAGAAATTTGAGCGCTTTAGGAAAGGAAAGGCCTGAGCCCTTGGCGCTCCACTTCAAAAGCAAATAGAACTCTTGACGTTATCCAGCTGATTTTAGTGCAGCAAAAGAACTATTAACAGTAGCATGGTAATAAAACACTGTCGCCATATTAGATTTAAAGAGTTAAAATCATAAGATCATAATATCATGAGCTTCATAATGTGGTGAAACATTTATGTTAAAGTTTATTGCAAGGAACACATGAATAATTTTGAGGAGCTCAGTACGATCGGCGACCTACCATATGAAATACCACAAATTCAGACAGAACACTAATGAGTAGTTATATCTGTATATATGACCTAAAAACTTTATTTTTAGTTTCAGTTTAATACATTGTTTGGATCAAGAAAAGAGAACCGAACGTTAGGGGCTGGTAAAACTGTTGTTTCTACTTCTCCCGAAAAGATACATGCTTCCCGTCATGTGTTTGGTACAACTGACAGGGAAGTAAGAGACATGTATTTCCTCTTTTCCGCCTAAATTAATGAAGGCGTGCGTACCCCTGATATCTTACCTAACCAAGTAAGGGAAATAGCCGTTGTCCCCTCCTAATACCCCTACTTTCCACTGCAACAAACAAAGTGTAAGTTTTGCTATCAGAACAAAGAATGATGCTCATTCCAGACAGTTAACTCGTCCACGTACAATACATTTGTGGTTGACCGTAGGAGAACAAAAGTAACAAAAAGAAATTCCTATATCAGGTAGCAGAAAACTTACTTAAGAATGTACACTTCACATCAAGACCAAGAGCTTTCACGTTCTTTTTCGATTTCTATATTCAAATGGCATAACAACTCTAGGATTCAGTGCTTATTCATAAAGGATACACCTCATACTATCAACTAAACAGTGTCAAATTTTATTGCAAAAACTTCTGTTTTTCCTCTTTTTTAGTTCAAAGGCTGTTGTTCAAAACAGAAAAGTGGGACATATACGTTGTCCAACCAAATCAATATTTACTCAATGAAGAAAATAGCTTCTAGATCTATATTTCCAATCTATATTAAGCTTCTGTAAGCAAGACAATTAGAAATATTTCCCAAAAGCCCAGAACATATTTTTCAAAATGTGATAATATACAGAACTGAGTGAACTTTAACAAATCCAACATACAACAATAAAGCTTCTTTCCAACTATAATACAAGGAGCTTTAGCAATTTAAGCACACATTTACAAAGATCTAAGCAAACTATTTACTCTCCCCAATCCCCATTTACACGTAGGCAATGGGCTTGCTGCCGCACCCACAACCATCAACTCAAACTACTCCCTCCATCCCATTTTATGTAATGTTGTTTGACGGACTTTAAGAAAAAAAAAGTACTTTTAAAACTTGTAACCTAAAACATGCAATGAACATTTTGTGTAATTATAAATTATTTCATTAAGGCCAAAACAGGAAGTTTAAGGTTAAGTTATTTCCAAATATAGAAAGATAGTCATTCTTTTCCGAACAAACTAAGAGCCCGTTTGGACATACAAAATTTTTGCTTTTTTCCAAAAACAAAAATTTTGAAAACAATGTTTGGTTATCCATATCTTACCAATTTTTCCAATTTCACTTGAAAATGCATTTTCAAATTTGAAAAACTGATTCTTACCGGTTGAAAATGCATTTTCACTAGTTTTTATTTTTACAAATTTACCCTATACTTTTAAAATTTATAAAATGACCTCATCAATTATTAACCTACAACTACCCACGTGTTTCCCCTCGACTATCAGATGAAGCTACTGCAACGAATAATGAACCCTTTTCTTGCGACGACTACCATGTTGCTAAACAATAGCATGTTTGATTGTTTATTTCAAGTAGTATAATTAACTTGGGACGGTTTTGATATTTTTTACAAGTTATGGGGTATAAATCATATTTCATGGTTTTGGAAAAAAAGACATTCAAATATGTTGCAAAAATTATAACCAAACACAACTTCATCTTCAATTCAAATTTTAGTGAAATTCCAAATTTGAAAATTTATTTTGGAATTCATGGCCGTTACACCTACTAAAACGAAAAATGCGGCACATAAATTGGGACACAGGAAGTATATAAACACAGTTAATTTTTCAAAAAAAGTAAATATATTTAACTAAGCTGGCACCAACTGATTTAAATTTGAAAGCCTAAATCCGTCTGTCTGTACAGTCACACCAAGGTTAATTCCGTAAAATTTTAGTCATTTCTCTTTCTCAGATATACATAGAGCAAGAACCAAACTTAAAGAAAAAAACAGAGGAAGGAAGTGGGAGCTTACCACGATGAGCTGCTGAGCAGAGAGGTGGAATCGAGGATACGGTAATGAAATGTTCTTTGCTGGAAAGCTCTAGAAATTCTAAAGGGGTAGTGCTAAATAACGACGCCGTTTGACTGTTGTCTGCGCACTTAAAATGACACAAATAATCTCTATGTTAGGATAAGTTTAAAGTAATCATTTAAATAATATTGTTGAGCAATTTTATAGTCTTATAAAGTGCTCTTTTTTTTTCTTCCTTTGTCGAATATTTTACATATTTTGATTGTTAGATTTAACGAACATCGTGAAAAAGAAAAGATTTATATCGAAACTTTAGATATGTATTTTTCTATTTTTTTTTATCTATTTCTAGTGTTTGGTATAATCAATAGATATGCCGATATTATAAAGTTTATTACTTTCGTTCAATTTATTTGATGCAATTGGAATATCGAGAGTCAAACTTATCTCAATTCATATGGTACTCTTTTTCTGTAGACATAAAATTTTTGATGCATAACAGTTTTTGTACAACTTTTAAGATTTACAAGGATTCATGTTCATTAAACTATTAAAATTCTAAATTCTGAGATAATGTTCTCTTTATAAAACTAATTTTTAGCCCCATTACATTAACACTGTATTTTACTATCTCTAATATAATATATTTTAGAACTTTATGCTCAATCAAATATGATCATATGGAATTTGACGGACTGGTATTTGAATGTCATCCTTTCAGGGTCTATAACAAACATGTTAGTTTCTAGTGAATTTTGGCAAAAAAGATTGGAAATGGAGGAGGAAAAAAAAAAAAGAATAACACAGGCAAAATAAAAGGAAAACTGAGTGAGAAGTTGAGTTTGTTAGAAAATCTAGGTTGTACTAATTCTTGTTTGACTTTCTTTCTGCCAATTGAAATAGGGGAGTCTATGTTCTAAATGCTCACCTAGTATGACATGTTAAATTACACAAATGGTGTAAAAAGAGCATTATGTTGTCAACGTCTATAATATAAATCAACAACTACTACGACTCAATAAAATTCCACTAATGGAATCTGGAGAGAGTAGTGTGTACGCAGACCTTACCCCTACCCCGAGGGATTAGAGAGGCTATTTCCGAAAGACCCTCGGCTCAAGATGACAAAAAGAGAATATCAGTACCACCAATAGAAATCATAAGAAAAATAACATCATGAAAATGGTAAAGTAGATGCAAAGCAAAAGCAATAGACAAAACATAGACCCGACACTATGGAAAACGAAAGAGTAGTAAGATGCAACATTGCCACTGACTTCGACAAATATTCTACCAGACTAGCCTCACAAAGGTACGAAGTAAGGAAAGACTCAACTACCTCCTAACCTACAACTCTAATACTCGACCTCCACAACTTCCTATCAAGGGCCATGTCCTCGGATATCTGAAGCCTCGCCATGTCCTTCCTGATCACCTCTCCCCAATACTTCTTAGGTCGTCCTCTACCTCTTCTCGTGCCCTCCAGCGCCAGCCGCTCACACCTCCTTACCGGAGCATCTAGGCTTCTCCTTTGTACGTGTCCGAAATAAATACATCATTTACTCAAGAGAGTATATGACCTCTTGGTCAACATACTTTCTTTTCTTTGATAAGGTAAAATTTAAGCCCTGGTAAACATTTTAGTATGAAACATGAATAGAGATTACAAGCTGTTCCTTTTCAAGAGAAACGGATCGAAATTAATACTCATGAGTTTTGCATTTGGAGGTGTAAAATTATATTACCTTGGTGGAGTTCCCACAAAAAGATTCCTAAATACATACATTAACACTTGAAAGAACAATGCAACAGTACAATTCTCAAATGTGCTGACTACTGTTTTTAATTAATAATCACAATAAGAAAGGCTGTAATTTCTTTCTTTACATTAACCTTCCCTATGCCTTTGAAGTTCCTCTATGTTCCCTTTCAACGTGTTCCACAAGGGATACAGGATCGCGAAAACCTTTACTACATCTCGGGCAGACATCAACCGTCAAGTTCATGACACCATTCTTTTCATGGACTTTCTGCACATGACTTATGAGAGCTGCAACTGAAGAAAATTTTAGTGAGCATTGCGGGAATCGCTCAACTTGGCCGCTACCACTCCCACTACGGTTTGTGCCACTGATTCCTTCCTTTCCCATCTGCGGCATCTGACTAAATTCGCTGCTCAATTTTGACATTCCAGCTTCAGCTGCCTTGAAGAGGTTTGTAGCCCAACTTGAGGATGAAGTGGCCGGAGCTTTCTTGGGCTTGTCTTTTCTACTGCCAGTTCGAAAGTTCATAAACGAGAATGCTGCTTCTGGTTTCTTACGTCCAGGACACTTGTGATCAGGTCCAAACCGATGCTTCAAACAATGATCGACAGTACACTCTCGACATTTGATTGTGTTTGAGAAAGTCAAGATCTCTCTGCAGCCAGGTACCGGACATTTTCTTTTCTTTGTGGCTTTTTCGTAGTTTGATGGATCACACTCGGTATTTACATGTGATTCCCAAGTTATATTCGGGTCTTCATCAGGAATAAGGCGAACTCCTTTTGCACAGAGTGGGCAAACGACCACAGTAACATCATTCTTGTTTGCTTTTGGACAGTGGTGTCTATTATAGCTCCGATGATCTAGACAAAACACCTGCAAAGTTTTATAACCCACATTAAGCATCTTCTAGGTGTTACGAAGACTATTAAAGAAAGCAACAGAGAGTACAAAAAGGATATTCAAGGATCAAAATATGGTAATTTGAAGTCATATATCTCCGGCTTAACTAAGAAAACAAAGAAAAGCAAACAAAACGTGATCAACCATGAACTGTGTAAGACCAAGTGAATGAAACCTAAAGGCGAATGTACACGAACGCCAAGGAGGACGAGGAAACATATGATCCCTCCAGCACTTCTACATATGTTTTTTGTTCTGCTTTACAGACAATCATAAATGCAAACCAAAAAAAAGAAAGTAAAAAACTAGATAAAACGACAGATTGAGAGCAGGAAAGATTCGCACACTTTAGCAATGTGGAAACAGCCATATATAAGAAAAGAAATCCATCATTTTGAGTTTGGTCAACTTACAGTTATTAGTTCCTGATAACTTTAAACTACTTTATCTACAGCCACCCACAAAACAAACTCTACGCAGAAGTTTCGTCCTATACTAATACAATAACAACTAAGCCTCTATCCCAAGCAAGTTGCGGTCAGCCGTATGAATCCCATTCCCCACTATCCACATCGTTCTATTCAAGCTTATTCAGTCCAATATTATAACAAAATGAAAATCTTCCTATACTAATGCAACACCCAAAGGGTCACAGAGGGAAAGGGCTCAAATTTTATACAAATATGCACAGCAAATGCAAAGATGAGAATAGAGCACAGAGAAAGATTGTCATATCACATTCATGTTGATAAAGGTACCAGGGAGCTCTACCTCTAAAACACATTTTGTTTATTTTCACACCTTCAGATGACAGCAAGTCTTACTCAAAGAAAGCTACTTACTAATAATTCAAAGGAACCTGAACTAAGATACTTAAGACCATATAATTGATGTACATCAAATTCTTAACTTTGTTGGATTCCTTTACTGATTAAAAAAGGTTTTGTTGACGGACCACCCAGCTTTTGGACAATCAAAAATCCTCAAGACGTTATTATTAATAAGATTCACACTGCCTTGTCAGAAAGAGAAAAAAACAGCCGAAAGTCTCCATTATTCAAAATTTTATAGCATATTGTATTATACAAAGAATTGACAATCGCAAGCTTGTCTTCAGACGAGAACTACTTTGTCAAATTGCAAAGTGATAATTGCTGATAAAATTTCAATGTCATTTTTTCATCACAAATATTGTTTATCTTTTTCTACTTCTATCTCCCACTATAGAATGCTAAACATATAATCCACCAGAGCATCCATTATTGCTAAAGGGTAGCAGACTTGTTGCTGCTCCTTTAGTGCTAGAGCGGAAGTAAGCAAATTTGGCCATTTTCATTCCACTCAAGGTCATTTTTTTCCCACTTGCTGAATTTTCATATACATCATCAAGATCAAACTTACTGCATACACACTACCCTCCCCAGACCCCACCTATTGGAAATATACTGAGTCTGTTGTTGTTGTTGTCAAGGGCGGATCTAGGGGGCGCAAGGGTGTTCATCCGAACCCCCTTCGTCGGAAAATTACACTGTTTATATAGGGTAATTTTTAATTTTTTCGTATAGATATAATATGTTGAACCCCCTTAACACAAGCCAAAAGCTTGGCTTAGTGGTTAAGGGGGTTCAGATTTTGTAGCAGGTCGCAGGTTCAATTCCCATCTGTCACAATCTAATTCTTTTCACTTCAGACCCCTTTTTTTTTTATTTTAAACGACGTTGTTTATCGTCGTCTCTTTTAATACCATTTCCCCCAAAAACGTGACTGCTTCTCTTTTTTAATTAGGGATTTTGGGTTAAAAGATCCCTAAACTCTCTCTCTCTCTTCGTTGGTGCCACCCGCTCTCTGTTTCTTCGATCTTTCTGCCTCACCAGTCGCGTCTCAATTCTCTCCATTGCCTCGCCAGTCGCCGCCCTGTCGCCGGCGTTTCATCTATCATGACATTGGCATCCCAGGTAAATTCCTTGTTCTTTCTAACTTTTTCAGAATTTTATTAATGTTTTATTGTTGATTCTTAAATTTAGGTTATTGAATCTTGTTCTGTCGCCGACCTCTCTGTCTTTTTGACATATTCAAACAAGATAAAAGAAGATTAAAGAAAGAGTGTATGGTGAACTNAAGGTAGAGTAATAAGGGTCTACCCGGCTCGGGCGGGACCAAAACTAGCGGTGTTGACAAGTATTCCTTGATTCTGTCGAAGGCCTTTTGGCAATCATCGGTCCATTTGGTAGCGGCGTCCTTTTTCAACATCTTGAAGATCGGCTCACAGATAACGGTAGATTGTGCTATAAACCGGCTGATGTAGCTAAGTCTCCCCAAGAAACTCATTACTTCTTTCTTATTCTTTGGCGGTGGCAATTCTTGAATAGCTTTGATCTTTGATGGATCCAGTTCTATTCCGGCGACTCACAATGAACCCAAGTAGTTTTCCGGCA